CCTCCCCTTTGAGAACTGCTCTCTCTGAGTATCTCCCGTGTACATGTGAACTATGCATGATGTTAATAAACTTCTGCTTATTTTCCTCTTGTTAATCTTTCTTTAATTTCAGCGGTCTCTGTCAACTGAGAACGCAGTTCAGAGCAGCGTTTGGCTCTGAGGTATGTTTAAATTTTACTGGCCCCAGGGAGGAATGCCCTCACCCACACACGCTGGGATCCTTGCCCGAAAGACATGTTTTAGTTCACAGTAGACAGAGCTGCAAATTGTTACAGGAGGCATTTCCCCTCATGGCGCAGGAGCTGAAGCTGCGAGGCCTCTTGGAGCCTGACCTGGGGACCTTACCGTGTGGCTTCCACCACATTTTTTTGACCTAATTTTTTCTAATTTTTTCACCTATATATTACCTCTTTTGTTCCAAAGAAGACATTTTCTTTTAGAGATTTTCATTTTTAAAAAATCTTGTGTTAACTTGTCTGTATTTTTTTCCTTGGGTAAAGACAACCCAGGAATGGCCCTTGTGTGTCTGAGATGTTGCTGTTCCCAGTTTTTCTTTTCCTTTTCTTTTTTTTTAAAAAATATTATTTATTTTTTATTAGAATTATTTTATTTAACTTTATCCATTCATTTATTTATTTCAATGTGACCAGAGAGGTAGAGAGAGAGAAAGTGAGAAAGCAAGCTGTCAGGTCCAGGACTCGAACCGTGGTCGGTCATGTGGGAGTCCAGAGCCCCCAACCACCATGCCACCTGCCAGCCCCTATTATTTATGTTTAGTCAATATACATCTTTCTAGTGTACAGCATGGCTTTTCCCAGCACAAATACAGCGCATATTAGTCGAGACAAAGACATTACCGTATACATTATCATCAGCGAATAACCTTTCATTTTTGTCGCATCACGCGTAATTGCCACAGCTTTTCTTCTTTCTTTTCTTTTTTTTTTGGAGAGATTTTCACTGTAGGGCGCGTGCGCTCGCCAGACAGACAGAGAGAGACATAGAGACAGAAAGCGAGAAATCACCCCCCAGGGGGGATGGTCACGCCGCAATCCCTTCTCCTCCATTCTCCTCTCGGGATCTTGGGCACGCACGCACACGCGCCCGGCGTGAGTTTTAAGCCACCGGGTCCGGGACTCGAACCGTGGTCGACTACGTGGGAGTCCAGCAACATAGCCATTACGCTAACTGCTGGTTCCTGCCACAGCTTTTCTTGATAGACCTAGTGCAATCTTGAGAACGGGGTTGCTGTGATCTCTCAGCCTGGCCAATCTTAGTTATGCTGTGCATCTTTTTTATTGGAGTACCATGTTTGATTTGTCCTGATACCTTAATTTGGAGTTTTTCTAAGAAATGGAGCAATAATGCAGCCTAGAGTTACTAAAATACAGTTTAAGCCTTAAAAAAAGATCGTTTTAAATGTTATTTTATCATTATTATTTGTTAGTTTGCTGCAGGGCACATGTGCTCACCAGAGAGAGACAGAGACAGAGAACGTGACAAAGTAAGCCGCCAGGTCCATGACTTGAACCACGGTCAGCCATGTAGGAGTCTAGCACCCCAACCACTGTGCCACCTGCTGGTCCCATCTCTCTCTCTCAATCTAATTTAGGGGAAGAAAACTACTTTTCTCTACCCTTCATTGTTCTTAGTTGGGAATAACTCCTATAACAAAAGACAGATTAGCAAGAGAGAAACAGAATCAAGTTATATTTTTCCCACTGGTGTGGATTATGCCACCCTCCCTCCTCTTGGAAGGTAAACATAAATTTGTAAACCACTTCTTACTTCAACTCTAGATTATTTTATACATTGTTATCACCTAATCTTTATAACAATGTGGCAGGAATCCACTTTCTACTGAAGAAAATTAAGGTGCAGGGAGTTGGGAAATTTGCTTTGGATCACATACCTGGTCAAGGATCCCAATGGGTGGAAATCCAGGTCTGGCTGACTCCAAAACTCAGGTTGAAAGTTACTGTGTGGTAGCGCCTCTCCGTACCCAAAGGCCTGGATGCGGGGACTTACTCATCTGCAAAACTGGCTTTCGAATAGACTCACTTTTGTTCTACTCTAGTTATGCCCCATACAAAGTTCATTTAATTTATGAGATACTGACCCATGGAGAGAATAAAATAAATAAAATTAATACTCTGGGCTGATGCAACTTGACGGATAATTGTAAGTATTTCTGGTCCGTATGGTGACCCTGAGCATGTGTGAAAGAAGAGAAGTCGGTAGAGATGTGGTCATTTCAGGTGACCCCATCCCTGGATCTGAGCTAGACGACACAGAGCATCTCGAGGTATCTGAAAGGGCTTCACCATCTCAGTGCTGTTTTACTAGGTAATGCGAGGAGGACAGCAAAGATGCACAAGGGGTGATCTCAGTTCCAGGACTTCCTGGAGAGGGGAACAAGGCAGGGTCGGCTACTGGGAACACACAGCCCAGGAGGTAAGGAAAAGCAGAACCTGGGACAGCGGGTGATGTAGTGGTTGAGGGACTGGACTCCCACATAGTCGACGGCTGTTTGAGTCCGAGACCCTGCATCTTGAAACTCACGCCAGACACATGTGTGTGCATGTCCAAAATCCTGAGGGGAGAATAGTGGAGAAAGGATTGGGGCATGGCCATCGTCCCTGGGGTGGGGGGAGAGTGATTTCTTGCTTTCTGTTTCTCTATCTCTCCAGTGAGCGCACACGCCCTATAGCAAAAATCTCTATTTTAATTTTTTAAATAAATAAAAGGAAGGACCAGCAGATGGCATAATGGGTATGTTGCTGTTCGAGTCCCGGACACGGTGGCTTAAACTCACGCCGGGCGCGTGTGCATGCCTGCCCAAGATCCCGAGAGGAGAATGGAGGAGAAGGGATTGTGTTGTGGCCATCCAGAGACAGAAAGCGAGAAATCACCCCCCAGGGGGGATGGTCACGCCGCAATCCCTTCTCCTCCATTCTCCTCTCGGGATCTTGGGCACGCACGCACACGCGCCCGGCGTGAGTTTTAAGCCACCGGGTCCGGGACTCGAACCGTGGTCGACTACGTGGGAGTCCAGCAACATAGCCATTACGCTAACTGCTGGTTCCTGCCACAGCTTTTCTTGATAGACCTAGTGCAATCTTGAGAACGGGGTTGCTGTGATCTCTCAGCCTGGCCAATCTTAGTTATGCTGTGCATCTTTTTTATTGGAGTACCATGTTTGATTTGTCCTGATACCTTAATTTGGAGTTTTTCTAAGAAATGGAGCAATAATGCAGCCTAGAGTTACTAAAATACAGTTTAAGCCTTAAAAAAAGATCGTTTTAAATGTTATTTTATCATTATTATTTGTTAGTTTGCTGCAGGGCACATGTGCTCACCAGAGAGAGACAGAGACAGAGAACGTGACAAAGTAAGCCGCCAGGTCCATGACTTGAACCACGGTCAGCCATGTAGGAGTCTAGCACCCCAACCACTGTGCCACCTGCTGGTCCCATCTCTCTCTCTCAATCTAATTTAGGGGAAGAAAACTACTTTTCTCTACCCTTCATTGTTCTTAGTTGGGAATAACTCCTATAACAAAAGACAGATTAGCAAGAGAGAAACAGAATCAAGTTATATTTTTCCCACTGGTGTGGATTATGCCACCCTCCCTCCTCTTGGAAGGTAAACATAAATTTGTAAACCACTTCTTACTTCAACTCTAGATTATTTTATACATTGTTATCACCTAATCTTTATAACAATGTGGCAGGAATCCACTTTCTACTGAAGAAAATTAAGGTGCAGGGAGTTGGGAAATTTGCTTTGGATCACATACCTGGTCAAGGATCCCAATGGGTGGAAATCCAGGTCTGGCTGACTCCAAAACTCAGGTTGAAAGTTACTGTGTGGTAGCGCCTCTCCGTACCCAAAGGCCTGGATGCGGGGACTTACTCATCTGCAAAACTGGCTTTCGAATAGACTCACTTTTGTTCTACTCTAGTTATGCCCCATACAAAGTTCATTTAATTTATGAGATACTGACCCATGGAGAGAATAAAATAAATAAAATTAATACTCTGGGCTGATGCAACTTGACGGATAATTGTAAGTATTTCTGGTCCGTATGGTGACCCTGAGCATGTGTGAAAGAAGAGAAGTCGGTAGAGATGTGGTCATTTCAGGTGACCCCATCCCTGGATCTGAGCTAGACGACACAGAGCATCTCGAGGTATCTGAAAGGGCTTCACCATCTCAGTGCTGTTTTACTAGGTAATGCGAGGAGGACAGCAAAGATGCACAAGGGGTGATCTCAGTTCCAGGACTTCCTGGAGAGGGGAACAAGGCAGGGTCGGCTACTGGGAACACACAGCCCAGGAGGTAAGGAAAAGCAGAACCTGGGACAGCGGGTGATGTAGTGGTTGAGGGACTGGACTCCCACATAGTCGACGGCTGTTTGAGTCCGAGACCCTGCATCTTGAAACTCACGCCAGACACATGTGTGTGCATGTCCAAAATCCTGAGGGGAGAATAGTGGAGAAAGGATTGGGGCATGGCCATCGTCCCTGGGGTGGGGGGAGAGTGATTTCTTGCTTTCTGTTTCTCTATCTCTCCAGTGAGCGCACACGCCCTATAGCAAAAATCTCTATTTTAATTTTTTAAATAAATAAAAGGAAGGACCAGCAGATGGCATAATGGGTATGTTGCTGTTCGAGTCCCGGACACGGTGGCTTAAACTCACGCCGGGCGCGTGTGCATGCCTGCCCAAGATCCCGAGAGGAGAATGGAGGAGAAGGGATTGTGTTGTGGCCATCCCCCCGGGGGGTGGGGGATTTCTCATTTTCTGTCTCTCTGTCTCTCTCTGGCGAGCGCACACACCCTATAGCAAAAACCTCCCCCAAAATAAATAAATAAATGAATAAATAAAAGGAAAGACAGAACCCACAAACATACAGAAGAGTCTCTTGAGGTCCACCGACCGTAGCAGGGGAACAGCCAGATGCTGATGAGGGAGTGGTAAGGACAGCAGACAGGCTCTGGCTTTTTCTTTTATTGCATGCCGGAATCCCAAGCTCTGAAAGATGCAGTTACAGGTAACAGCAGCAATGGCCGTTGGCAATCTCAGTGGTGCTCCCTGGAGGTCTCGTGTTTTTCGAGGATTCAGGGGGATGTAAATAATACCACCAGAGTGGGAAACTACGTCATCTATACGTGTTCTAAATACAGACCCGGGGGTTCACTGACGTGGCTTTCCGCATTTAACGCAGCAGAGGTTCTGCCAGCTCCTTGACCCTTGGAGAACAATATGCTTTCAAAGCAGTTGGCTTGACTTTAAAGACATTTGGATCGTAGTATAACATGTGCGTGGGACCCCTAAAATGGGAGAAAAAGAAAACAACGTAAGATAAGATGACTAGCAAAGGGAGCCAACGTTTCTCAGGCACCCACTGTGTGCTAGGTGTGCTGCTATTATTCCATTTTGATTTTTCATAACCTCCACTGTGAGTCAAGAAAATGAAGGCGGGGACCAGCAGTTGGCATAATGACTATGTCGCTGGACTCCCATGTAGTCGACCACGGTTCAAGTCCCGGACCTGGTGGTTTAAACTCATGCTGGGTGCATGTGTGTGCGCGCATGCCCAAGATCCTGAGAGGAGAATGGAGGAGAAGGGATTGCGGTGTGGCCATGGAGCAGGGGTGATTTCTTGCTTTCTTCTTTCTGTCTTTCTGGTGAGTATACATGCCCTATAGCAAAAACCTCAAGAAAGAAAGAAAGAAAGAGAAAAAAAGAAAGAAAGAAGAAAGAAAGGGAGAAAGGAAGGAAGAAAGAAAGAAGAAAGAAAAAGAAAAGAAAAGAAAATGCAGGCTCAGAGGAGGTACAAGAATGATCTGTGGTCAAATTTAGATTTGCATAAGTATTAGATTGCAAAGTCTTGGCTCTGAGCATCAAAATCATTGTATTTTATTTCAATTATTTTTAAAATTTTGCCAGAGGGCATAAGTATGCACTGGAGATAGAGAAAAAGGGAAAGCAAGAAAGAACCCCCATGGGAAATGGTCATGCCATAATCCCTTCTCTTCCATTCCTCCCTCCCTTCAGGATTTTGGGCATGCATGGTTGTGTGGCTGGCATGTTTTTCAAGTTGTGGGTTCTGGGCCTTGAACCATACAGCTGGCCATGTGGGATCCAGTTGTCTTCACCGTCACACATGGGCTAGCCTGCAAGTAAATTTTAGAGCTTTCTCAATACTTTTGCAATGTTCAAACAAACCAGACAGTTATCTCATAAACTTGAAGGGGAAAAAGTCAAAATTTGAGGCTACAATTTTACAACCAAGTAACTTTGCCACTGCGATAAAACCTTGATAAAGCACTTATCATACTCTTCTGCTCTCTTCTTCAGTGATGTAGAATGAGCTTCATTTCCTTTGATAATGAAATTTTTAAGGATAAATACATTATGACATTTTAAAAATATTTTATTATGTAAGAACTAACATATTTCCTTTTCCCAGAACTGCAGACTTCCACAACTCTTTCTACCTCTCTTAGATTCTCCTGATGTTTAAAAAGAGTGTCAGGGGGCCAGCAGATGGCACAGCGGTTATGTCGCTTGACTCCCACATGGCCGTCTGCAGTTCAAATCTTGGACCTGGTGGCTTGAAAAGCACACTGGGTATGTGTGCATGCACACCCAAGATCCCAGGAGGAGAATGGAGAATTGCCCCTGGGGGGGTGGTGGTGGTAATTTCTCACTTTCCTGTTCACTGTCTCTGTCTCTCTCCAGCAAATGCATGCATCCTATGGCAAAATCCTCTTTAAAAAGGGAGAGGGGAGGTCAGCCCAAAGCACAGTCAATAATCCCCAAAATAGACAAGTGGGATTATATCAGGTTAAAAAGTTTCTGCACAGCCAAAGAAACAATTCAAATGAAGAGGCAACCCTTGGAACGGAGAATATATTTGCAAACTCTCCCTCAGATAAAGGCCTGATAACCAGAGTATACAGGGAACTCAAGCAGCTTACCCACAAAACAAATACTCAGTCCAATTAAAAGATGGGCAATGAGCTGAACAGGCAGCTCTCCAAGGAAGACATAGGAACGGCCAAAAAACATATGAAAAGATACTCCACATCCCTTATCATGAGGGAGATGCAAATCAAAACCACAGTGAAATACCACCCAACTCCAGTCAGAATGGCTAAGATTAAAAAAGTAAAGAATGATAAGTGCTGGTGAGGCCATGTTGAAAAGGGAACTCTCCTACACAGTTGGCAGGAATGTAAATTAGTACAACCACTGTGGAGAGCAACATGGAGGTTCCTCAAAGACCTGCAAATAGAACTACCAATCGATCCATCAATTTCACTCCTGGGTATCCACCCAAAGGATAGGAGAACACTCAATCGGAAAAACACTTGCACATCAATGTTTATTGCAGCATTATTCACAATTGCTAAGATATAGAATCAACCCAAATGTCCAAGAACAGGTGAATGGGTTGAAAAAGTGTGGCACATATACACTATGGAATATCACTCAGCCATAAGAAACAATGAGACCTTGGCATTTGATAGAAAGTGGATGAATATGGAAGACATAATGCTAAGCAAAGCAAGTCAGACTATGAAAGAGAGACATTGCATGTCTCCCTTAATATATACCAAATGTCTGCACCCTATGGCAGAATCTAAAAAATTGGAAGATATAAAAATATGGAGAGCAACTCTGAATACTAGTGACAGTGTGGGAGGAGGGTGAGAAATGAGGGTGGGTAGGAGGCAGAAAGGTAAGGGGAAGAGAAGCAAAACAGACACAAAAAATGGAAAATTATCTGTTGATGATAATGTCTATGGTAATATCTTTGACTGGACTAATATATAGCATATTCATGCTGGAAAAAAATAACAATAAAAAGGGGGTCAGACTTTGTCCCTTGAAGAAAACAAATGAACTGTGGTTCAGGCAAAATAAGAGGTGTTCCAAAAAACAAACAAGAGGAAGAAGCACTTTCTTCTTTGTTATTTATATTTTCTTTCTTTTTTTTTTTTTTAATTTTTTGAGAGGTTTTTGCTATAGGGAACATGCGCTCACCAGACAGACAGAGAAAGACAGAGAGACAGAAAGTGAGAAATCAGCCCCCAGGGGGGATGGCCACGCCGCAATCCCTTCTCCTCGATTCTCCTCTCGGGATCTTGGGCATGCATGCACACGTGCCCAGCGTGAGTTTAAGCCACCGGGTCCGGGACTCGAACCGTGGTCGACTACGTGGGAGTCCAGTGACATAGCCATTATGCTAACTGCTGGTCCCATCTATATTTTCTTTTTTTAATTTTTAAATTTTTTTTTTTTTAAGATTTTTGCCATAGGCATGGGGCATGTGTGCTTGCCAGAGTGAGGCCCAGAGAGTGACAGTGAGAAAATATTCCTCTGAGGGGGGGACCACACCAGTCTCCTCTCCATTCTCCTCCTGGAATTTGGGGCACGCACACATGCCCAGCATGGTTTTCAAGCTGCTGGTCGGAACCCAAACCATGGAATCAACCATGTGAGATCCAGCACCTTCACCACCATGCCACCTGCTGGCCCTGTACTTTGGGCCTGTACTATTTATTTGAAATAAGTCATATGTGTACCTGATGCAAAAACACTGAGAGATCAACATAAATATTTACTGAAAAATAGACTATTTACTGAAAAATAAGTCTTCCTCCCTCCTGTTTCCCAGACATCCAAAGACAACCATTGTTACTACGATAGTTAATACTCTCTGAACCACCACAGGCAAATGTAAGCAAATACATGGCACCTGTGTGTTCTTTTCTTCCACAAGTTGCAGCGTACGATGTGCTCTGGTCTTTCACTTAATGACAGATGTTATAGAAATGATTCCATTTCTGGGACCGGCAGGTGGCGTGGTGGTTAAAGACACTGGACTCCCACATGGCTGACCACGGTTCAAGTCCTGAACCTGGTGGCTTGCTTTTTCACTTTCTCCCTCTCTCTCCCTCTCTGTCTGTCTGCTGAAACTGGAAAATAATAATAATAATAAAAAAAGTTAAATAAAACAATTCTTTAAAAAAAAAAAAATAAAAGATCCCAGGGACCAGCAGATAGCATAATGGCTACGTCACTGGACTCCCATGTAGTCATCCATGGTTTGAATCCTGGACAAGGTGGCTTAAACTCATGCCAAGCGCGTGTGCATGCGTGCCCAAGATCCTGAGAAAAGCATGGAGGACAAGGGACTGCAGCAGGTCATCCCCCCTGGGGGGTGATTTCTCACTTTCTGTCTCTCGGTCTTTCTGGCAAGTGCACACGCCCTATAGCAAAAATCTCTCCCCACCCCCCCAAAAAAAGGATTCCGTTTCCAAACTTACAGAGCTATCTCTTAATCTAAGCTTCCATTCCTAGTCTACTAACCTTTTAACTATCGCCTCGGATTTATAAGAAGAACATAGATTTGCCATAATGGGAATAACAACTGGATATTTTTGAATTTTTTTTTCAGAATAATTTATTTTATTATTTATTTATGTTCATTATCATTATTATTCTTTAATTTAACCAGAGAGATACATACAGAGACAGAAGGAAAGTGAGAAAGCAAGTCATCAGGTCTAGGACTCAAACTCTGGTTGGCCATGTGGGAGTCCAGCACCTTAATCACCATGCCACCTGGCAGTTCCAAATTTTTAATTTTTTTTTTATTGGCCATATTAGGTCAACTTTTCCCCTCTTCCCTACGTCCCCTGCTTTTCCTGTCCCATCTTAACCTTAAATGGACATACCCCTTTTTTAAATTAGCTAGCTCCTCAATTCTACTAGATGCCTTGGAATGGGTTGCGGCATGAGACACTGGCCAGCAAACTTCACGAGCGGGTAGATAATCTTGAGGAAGAGACTTGGGCATCGCAAGCATCACTGTTCGGCTGCTCGGTGTGGCTTGCAGGGCAGCAGCAGCTACCTAGAGTGGAAACAAAGACACGAACAGATCCCAAATCTTGCCATGTTCCCGTCTCCATGCCGTACCCCTGCTGAGTCACTATCATTTCCCTCTAGATCACTGGTCTCCCTGTTTCATCATTGCCCCCGGTATGACCCAGCCTTGACATGACAGCTACTGAAGGAGAGAATGAACATATATAGTGAGTGTGCTCCACGGGTCAGAGTTTGGCGTGATTTATTTACATACATCATTCCCACTGTGGATAGAAGTTTGACTACTTTTCCTATTTTTCCAAAATCTTTTCAAAAGGGACTGGGGAAGTCATGCCACAAACATTTAACAGACCATTTATTTTCTATTAATAGAATTCTTCCTGGGAACCAGCAGTTAGTGT